TTAGAATTATAGGTGATAGATAATAATTTAAAAATATTTTCTGATGTTTATTATCATCAGTCTTACCTACTTGGAGTTATATCAAGTAAGAGTTTCAAACATAAACTAAAAAACACAAGAATGTATGAAAACATTTTTTATCACTATATATATAGAGATAGGTGAAGTTGTCATTACGTGAACATGATCCATTATCAGGTCCTGAGTATTTCCTGCCCTTCTGCTCATTACTTCTCAAATCTCTTCTTTTTATCTCAATCTAACACCCTCACTGGTAGGTTGATATAAATAGAGGCAGCCCCTGACTTATGATTTGAGTTATGAGACGTCAACTTTACAATGGTATGAAACTGATGCACACAAGATAAAAACCATAGTTCAGATTTTGAATATCAATCTTTTCCCCAGCTAGTGATAGTCCATAAAAACTGTCACCTTGCGGAGCACAGAATAGGCTTCAGCTCCCCTCCAACCCAATGATCAAGAGGGCAAATACCCAATACCCGAGGTCTAAGTTACGATGCTTGGTAAGGTAGGTACATTCAGTGTACTTTGGACATAGGATATGTTCAACTTATGATGGATTTCTTCAGACATAAACTTACTGTAAATTGAAGGGCATCTGTAATCTATAGATAGTTCATCTTCCCCTACAGTTCTGTCTCCATCTTACAGTTCGAGTAATCTTTTAAATTATAAATATAAATATACTGCTTCCTTAAGACTTTCACGATTTCCCACTACCCAGAATAAACCCCCCAGAATCTCCCCAGCCCCAGAAAGTACTCCATTCACAACCCTGCGTGCCGCCCAAGCACTGCGCTTCTTCCTCCTCCACCTGGGGCTTCAGTCTGGGCAGCTGTCACTCCCCATATGCGTTTCACTTCCTGATATCCCCTGTCCCTGGGACAATGCCCATGCACAGTTCATAGTTCTACTCAACTGTCTTCTCTTCCAGGAAGCATTTCTTGACCCCCAAACTATGATGTATGATTGGAAAATACTGCAAACGCATTTCAAAACATTTGTTACAGTATAAGGCATATTGCCATTAATCCTTCTCAAAATACTTCTCCCTCATTTA